GGCAAGACACTTCAGTCGGTTTGTTGCCAGGAATTGCAGGAAAAATCCTTGTGCAGAGAGGATTTCCACTGTCTCTCTTGTCTAGGTTCCAGACCTTTACCTGAGAAATAAATACCACTTCAGTGATGACCCATTAAAATCACTAACACATTTTTTCTGTGTTTTCTCTGGAGAACTTCACACTTACAAGAGGGTTTATTCCTTGTTCATCCTGCCCAACTGATATAAGGATGCTGTGCTGCTTCAGCTGATAAAGGTGTGTTACCCGCAACTTGTAGGCCTGAAAATATGTCAACTGCAAGGAGCGTGTCATAAGCCAGATCTTGCCATCCATATGTGACATTATGGACGTTAAGGGCAATTATATACAGTTGTTGCAAGACATGCATTAGGTAAGGAAGGAGAAGATCGAAAACGCAGGATATTATATCAAAACAATGTCCACCATTAAAATAGATCACTCGTTTCGCTATCGCCATGCCAGGTAGAGGAATCTGCTAAATTAACGTTTCTATGAGTGTTAAAGAGAAGTCGTCATTTAACTGTCAGCTGTCAGCAACATTAGCATGATATTAGCTGAGTTAGCTGATTAGTGCTGTTAAAGGATATCTCCGAGAACAATATGACCCCGGCCGGAGTCACACGCCGATATTCCGCTTGGAAGAACAAAGTTTTTCCCACTATCCACAGGATCCTTCACCGTATCTTTATCAAAGAAGACAAATTTTCTCCACTGTAAGAATGCTGCCATTTTGTTAGCGTTAGCTGAGTAGCTTGAACAGGGCGTTGTCATGTGACACAAAAGTCACGTGAGCTAACCGGCTTCTTGCACACTGGAAAAGAAAGTCCTGTTAACACCCACTAATATTTCGGCTTTTGTTCGGAGAGGGTAGAATCGGCATTTATCCCCAAGGTGAAATGACACTGGAATACTGACGGGTATTTTTCAGCTCCAGCTCCGATCAGTAGTGACAGCAACATGACACCCGGTGGAACATGTGGATATATTATTAACCTGGATACCGGACCTAAAATGCCACCTATTGAGTCCTATATAAGAATTGCTCGCCTAGCTCATACGCATGGATGTATTATAAGACCTATTAATAAGAAGTTCTAATAATACATCCATGCTCATACGCCGAAAAAGTTTCTGGTTTCTGGGTTACTTCCGGGTGCATAGGGGTACACTGAATATGCACAGTAGTGTTACTCCCATCATGCCTCTGGACTGCGAGCTCTATGCATGGATGTATTATAAGCATTATAAGATGCATGGTTCTATGGTACTTGCTTGGGGCTTGAAATCATGGATGTATTTATACAGATGGCAACAGCAACCAACAATGAAAATAAATGAATCAAATTTAGTTTAACTGTCTATGAGCATTTCATATATTTACAGCCTGGCAGATAAAGTTATTAAAAGGGCTTTACAAATAATGTTTTACCTTTTTATATCAAAAAGCATGGTAGGTCTATGTCTGCTTTTTTTTTTTTTAAATTGCAATTCTGTAGTTTAGCATAATTCCCTGTGTTATTATTTACACTTCTGTCTATGTGTCACTGTTCTGGATGTATGATAAAGTTTTATTCCATATCAACTCCCAAGTATGGGAGTCTGACTTTGGCGTACTCTGTATTGAGAGATGGTTCAGTTCTTATAACACATCCAAGGAAAGAACACATCAGCAATTTAGCAGCTGTACTGCACTGTGTTTACGCAACCGCTGTGAAATAATCTCTGGCCTCCATGCTACTTAATGCTGTTTACTAACGCCGTTTTCCGGCACATTTGTGACATACCAGAAAAAAAAAGCACAGACAAACTCCTCTACTGGCAATAGAGTGGTGCAGGGATGAAATATTTTTGGTGGTATTATATGATATATTTTTGTATGGTATTAGTCAGGTGATGAGAAATTTCTCGAGTTATGGATTAAATTTTTGTCTCATCAGACCAGAGAATTTTGTTAGGTAAAATTCTTATCATTTGGTTAGTGGTGAAAAAGAAAGAGCGCTGGAGTCCAGGATGTCTTATGCTGAGGATGTTTATTGAAGCTTGGCCAAGGAGAAAAGAGGAATCATCAATACAGTCTCCTGTGCATGATGTCACCTCAAATCTGAAACAGGAACCCCTGAGGAAAGTCTTTATACACTTCAAGAGATTACTATAGATAGCTTACACTCCATAATTGATCAAATATCTAAAATAAGAGGGAGAAGAGGGATGTGTGAATACACTATTGGTTCATTAACCATAAACAAGGAAACATGACTATATACACCCAAGTGCTGATTCTTAGAACACACAGCCACAAGTTAGTGACAATCCAAGGTCTTCTGTTATTAATTGTGGCACCATCAGTATCAGCAGCAAACCACAGCTGCGTCTGGAGGAGCCACCTCCAAATAGGCTGTAATATGCATTTACTGAGAGTGGTTTCCATCATAAATGCCTGCTTGATGGAGAGCTGCTGAGATGGTTGTCCTTCTGGCAGGTTCTCCCATCTCCTGGTGGTTCTAACCGTCTTCCATTTTACAATTATTGAGACCACTGTGCTCCTGGGAATGCTCAAAGCATGAGAAATGGCTTTAGATCCTTACTGGCAGAAAGTCTTTCTGGCCTCAGTTTTCAGTCACAGTTTGATTAAGTTTAAGCATCAAAACTTAGAAAATTGTGGCTATGTCTAGCCACAATTTTATTGTGGTGTTTATATTTACATAGTGTAATGTCTCTCAATCTGAAATGAATGCATAGAACAAATAAATAATAAAGATTTTTTTTAAAACAATCATGAAATCTTAAATCCTAAATTTCATCTAAATGTTTGACTCATCCAGCAGCCGAACTCACTTGTGTTTTCTTTCTACAATGGAAATCAAATATTGTTCAGAGGGTTTGTCCCAACATTGTTGCAGTTCCCACTGATGTGTATTACTTGTAGGTTGCTCCACTTCCACTTTGTGTCCAGTTCATCCCAAACCAGCTCCATGGGGGTTTAAGACAGGAGACTATGCTGGTCTTCATCATGTGAAGCCACCGTCTGGTTCTGTTCTTCAGATGTTTTTGGTCATTAACCTTTGACCAAACCAGTCGGTCTTCCTTTGTTATTTGTTTTTTTCTCACCATTCTGATGACAACACACACCACTACTTCCTACAGTACAGTATTGTCTTGATAGTGCATCAGAGCATGTAGTAACACAGTTTGTCCCAACACTGCCTTTGTACAGACAGGGTTTGTGAGTCATCAACCTGTAGGAATTATTTGTATTAACTTTCAAGGCTTCATTTACTTCCATTGCTGCAGAGAAACTGTAAGTTCACCAGTTTTTTCATTCCCTGAAAAGCCTGTTGTCTATGACATTTACATGATTATTTAGTTTTTGGTGACCTAAAGTAAACGTGTATATGTTATATAACATTCTATGTTAAATCTATATTACTATTATATATATAAAGTCAAAATGTGAATCTGTTGTTGGACCTCTGCTCTACCATGGAAGGTCTCAACTTACACTAAAACATAACCCTGTGAGGAAATGACCCATGTCCAGTCAAACTGCAGATGCATGTTACTGTTCAGCGAGAGGAACAATGTGTTCAACAAACCAGCATTAACAACAAAATCTTTTCACACACGTTATAGATGTTATTTTAATAGGTGTTCAAGAAGTAATAATTGCGTCAGCAGAAAGTGTAAAAGGAATAATAGTTGCATCAGCAAACAGTGTTATGACATAGGAGTTGTGGATGGGGCGGGGTAGGGATGATGGGAGGTTGAGGGATCCCTCACTAAGCAGGGGTTCCAGTAAGGCTGCATATAACAACTGGGCTGTAACAATCAAAAAACATATCTTTCATGATGATTACCAGTAAGATAAATTAGATTAAGCACATGTTGTACAAACTATCAGAGGAAAGAGACTCAAAAGATCTGGCATAACCTCCTCTATACAAAACAAAAAAAAAAACAAAAAAAAACAAAAACAAATCAAAAAATGAAACCATGATCTACATTCCAGTAAAGGGTAGATAATCTTATACATGTTTATGTATAAATGGATGCATATTCAGTTGTATATTTCATTTTTTTTTATTTGACTAAACCTATAAAAAGGAACAGTAATAAATAAGTTGAAACTCAAGCATTCAGTTGTTCTGTCTGATTGCAGGAGCGTCCCTGTTTCATAAACTGTCCTGAACAGACTTTCACTTTTACTGCAAAAGAAAAAGGAGTAGCAAATCAGGGAAAGCTATTGTCCCACCACTCAAACTGCAAGAATCTCTAATTTTTGTCTCTCTCTCTCTCTTATTAGTCTCATGGATGCTCACATGGTACAGAAAGTCCTTTGGACTTAAAATCTCCATACATTTCCATTGAGTTTGCAGCGCAGCACCTATCCTGTCATGAGAATGGTTGTAACTATGCACCTAAGGAACAGTATACCATCATAGCATACATACAGTACAATCAAGACTGAATTAGAAAAATACAGGTACAAAATGATTACATTCAAGAAGACAGTACTAGCACAAAGGGTATTATAGTCATTTAGGTAACTAATATAGGAATTTCAACTTTATAGAAGCATTTTCTAGATAGAAAAAGTGAGGGGTAGGGAAATGACAGTATTATGGCTGTTTTGTAGATGTGTGGATTTGTTATTGACTGGATTCTCGCATATATAATAGTTAAAATGCATAATTTCCAGAGTGGGTAAAAATTATATATTTTCTTCAAAGACCATGATCATTTTGGTTTGGGTCATAAGGTGCAAATACTGTATACTAAAAGAGGCATTGCGTGGTGCCCTTTTGTTGCACTTCATTCCAACTCTGGGTTCAAACACCAGGGAAAAGCCCATTAGATACACAGGATGAATTGTGCTGATATTGTTACCTGAAGATTTACACACTTAGAAAACGCAGTGCAACTGTTCAGCTAGCTTTCTTTGCTTTTGTTTTTTTTTTTGTTTTTTTTTTGTTTTTTTTTTTTTAAACAGGATTTCCATTTGAATATACCTTTTCCTTTTCTTTGGCAAATGTCAATAAACTCACTGGCTAAAAGCAAATATATCTCTATTTTGGGGGAAGACAATTTCTTTGTCTTTGCAAAGAACTACACTGATGTCCACCAGTGGAAGAACTATACAGTTTACTGTTGGATGATTTCATCCTTAATGTAACTTTATCTCATATCTGAAAAATATCTGCCGTTTACTATTAGATTATCATAAAGCATACTGTTTTCTTAAAATTAACTGGGAAACATTTGCAGTTGGTTTGATATATTTTAAGGACAAATTTAGAGAGCAATTATAGATTTCTTTTGCATGTAACTATCTGCACACAAGGGCCAACATTAGAAAACATTACTACCATGTAGCAATGCTTTGATTTAGGAAAAATACTCTTTTTCAAGATGCATGAGTTCTCTAAGACCCATTCATTTCTTATTTGTTGGTCCTGTCATTAAGCACTTTTAACACATCTTAACACATATCCGAGAAATGGTGATGCAGTCGCAGTCAAATACACTCCTTCAGAGTTGAAAAAACAAGCTCATTGTCTAGAGATGGTGCATTTTATCGCAGTGCCCATGTGCTTAGCAGGTAAGCATAGATGCATTAATCGTCTATGAGCTTGGTCTTTTTTGACAACAGTCTTAATCCAGTAAACTTGACCTCAGGAAAAACCATTTAAGTTCATGAAGAGGACCTAGTTGAAAGAGCATCATAAATGCATATACTTCAACAGAGGAACAATCAAACAGAGAACAAAAAGCTATAAAAGTTATAAACGTGACGCATTCTAAAATGTGATAAATTAAGTATTGGTCTACACAGAGGAACAAAAGGCTGCTAGGTAAGGAGGAAAGGGGTATTGCTAGGGAGTCTGTAGTTCTCAGTTAGCCTCCACTATCCTGTGGCAGCTCATCCAGGTTCCTCCAATCCTTGGGAAGACAACAAACCTGCAGTTTAACTGCACCTGTCCTTGTTTTTCCTCATTACTCCTGCTGATAAACTGCAAACTGTATGGCCAAGACAGAGGCATTGAAATGGAATGATTCTGACCCAACATCAACACAACAATGCCAAAAATAAAGAAAACAAATCTGCATCTATATATAAATACTTGTAAAAATCAAAACATCGATTACATGTGACCTTTGAGTAGACCATTACTTGGCAATAAAATCTCTAAAGGCCAACAGGAAACAAATGGGGAAATTATTGTTAAATGCCTTGTCTCCATAAGCTTTAAGAGGAACCATAGCATAGTGCAGTCTGATTTCAACAAATTAAATCAAATCAAACCATACAAAGACAGAAAATCTTATTTATGCTTTGTGTTTTTCTCCAAATTGTTCATTTTATGAGACATGACGAATAAAACTGTTTCACACAACAAATGATCTGTTTACAAAGCCCTGTTCTTTTATGTCAGAGCTTGTGTCTGGCTTTAGCCAGGACACTGAAGACACTATTGAGACAGGCGATACAGTAAGAAAACTGTGAGTGGTGGAGACAAGGCATTTTATCACCCTTCCAAGAGCAACTCAAACTTCAGCTACAAATGAGTGCAGTGTTTACATAAAGAACAACCAATCAACCAAACAAACAAAAATCTAATAAGTTGCACACAAGTAATTGACCTTTCTAATTGCTACGCAAACTGCAATAAGATCAAGTATCGACAAAAACTGCATTTTCACTATTCAAAAATGTTACACTGACTTCAGGACTGTGATGGCATTGAGCAAGAAGCTGGTTGAGGGCTTTGTGGCGGCAAACGGGGTCTAGGTGGGAGGGTTAAGGCTATATTTGAATCACTTTCACACAATCTCCCCATCACAAGAAGCAGTTTTTAAGCCAACCTACTGTTTCAGAAGCCTGACACAGGGACACTGTGAGCCTACTGCTAAAGATAAACAGGACAAACAAACATCCTCAGCTATAGTCAACTCTAGTTCAGATGCAAGGGTATGCACAGGTTTACTTTTACACATTCAGTCTAACATGATTACTTGTAGCTACCACATCCTGTTTTACAGTAGCATCATCTTAATGTACATATCAAGTACTCAACCATGATTTCTTTGTATTTTGGATAAACCACATCAGTGTACCACAGGGAAACACTAAGCAAGGAGTTGGTAATGGATGCCTATCAATCATGATTATTTACCCTGGTTAAAGTCATTTTGGGTTGAAGCTGGAGGGAGTGGAAGGGATAAGAGCTATTCAGATACAGAGGTATTCTACCGGAGGTGCAGGGAAACTCTTCAGTAGGTGTGTGTGTGAGGTAAAAAGGTGACAGAAAGCTGTGTTGCATTGTTGGGTTTTTTACCTACCTAAAATGCCGTTTTTTAAACCACAAGACTTTAAAAATGGCCTCTATTTGACAAAACAGTGTACAGTAACCCATGACAACCATTTCTACAGGGGAACCCATGCACTAGGGGACAGCTTGGTTCTTCCACAGGCCCTAACAGAGCATCTAAGGGGGATGAGGACTTCAGAAAGGCATCCTGCCTCAAACCAAAGGAAGGCTTCAGGAAAAACACTGAGATAGCGAGGAGCAGGGAGGAGGAAGAGAGGCTCTCTGTCCCCCACCATGAACCCAAGCTCAAGCAAATTCACCACATGGGGGGAGGTGGAGTCTGTCCAAAGCTTCCCGTTCAAGTCTCCCTTCAGTGTGGGCTTGCCACTGAGGAGAGTGAAGCTCCACTGCCAATGTCCAGGTTGTGGCTTCTCTTAACAGCAGCAGAGTTTCACTGATCAGCGCAGGAGATGAGGACTGGAGTCTGGGCAAGTTCTTTCTTCTGACTCTCAGCCAAGCCTCTCTGGCCTCTGGAACAGGACATTAAAGAGTGTGTTCACATTTATTCAAATAGCTGGCGTCTCTTTGAAATGAAAGCATATAAGGCTTTGCTTTAAAGTACTGGGCCTGCTGTCTATTCTATCAAAGTTGAGTTGCAGAGTTTCATGATGGCAACTCACACACTGGACCTCATGAAAGAACATTTGCATATTCATTACCCTAAAGCTCATTTACTTTTCACTGTGAGGTCTGTTTGAGCATTCCAGGTCAGATTCAGCAAACTTTCTTACATGTACAAACTTGTTGTAAATTGTTTGTTTGAACCTGATGAGCTCTTCAGTTATGCTAATAATCAATTCTCACACATTTCCATTAAGGCCAAATGTTCTTCTACATTTGTGGGCAGGTTTCATTCCCAAAAATGTTACTAAAGAGTTAAAAAAAAAAGCTCCACATTGTAGAGCTTTAAGTCCCACTGTCAGACATCAGCAGATTGTCATATAACATAAAGTATTTAGCAGTGTTACAAGTCATATTAGGAAACCTGAAAGCACCACAGCGGAGTCACAGAGGCGTATTATGACAGAAAATAAAGAGCAAATGGTTTGGCATTAGGTTAAGCAAGGTGGTGCATAGCTAAAAAGTGAGGCGGTGATGGATGTATGTATGTAAAAATGTAACTGTCATATAGATGGATGAGAGAATACATTTGATCTGTATCTAGATGGTCTGCATAAAGCCCATGAGGTGGCTGTTGGCACTTTCCTAACAACTACAAATTGACAACAGTTATATAGTGCTTTTCTACCTTAATGGACAAAGCACTTTATTATTTGCATATCATTCAGAACTGTATAAAAACTGTATACGTTATCACATCAAAATTAATTCAGATTTTTATGGTAAGTTATAAAAAGCAGACTCTCTGCACGACAGCACAACCATGACAGGACACCTAAAACTAAACAAACCTATTTTATATTAAAATGCTCACGTATTAGTAAAAGAATAACATATTCGCTTAATAATAGGTCCACAAAATAAGATACAGCCTGTGCTTATCAGCAAAACTCTAATGTGCTGTTATTTAATGTTAAAGTGTTTATCTCCCTCTACTGACACATTCTGGTACTGCATTTTACCAACTAAGGAGGCACTGACAGGAAGTAGCCTGTTCTTTTCCCAAAAGCAGTAGTGGTCCAGTTTGTTCTAGCTTACTGAGTGCCGATGCCAGTGAGTATTTTTTATAATTATTTTTATATATATTACAATTACTCTTGTATGGCAAATAATTACTAAAGCATAGATGTTGATTGCAGCATGTAACTTCATGTTCACCTTATGTAGTTGAAGCCACTGATATACATTTAAAAGTAACAATGCCTACTATGTATGTTTAGGTATTTTACAGTTTAGCTAACAATTTGTATGTTAGTTCAAAAACCTTTGCACACTATAAGCCAACTATTGTCTCTAGTGTTCTGTAAGTGGCTTAACCTCATTGAGAATGGGTATATAGAGAACATTACATGTAAAGCATACCATGTATATGTTACAATCTACTCAACTGTATTGTATATAAGGTATAAGGCTGTGTATCCACCTGTGAACATTTTCCATGGCTGCTACCTCAGCAAGCGCTGCCAAGCTGAAGAAAGCAGGTAGCTCTTGCGGTACGGTGCTCCTCTCCGCCTCCTCTGCTCTGGGATTACTGTAGCACCCTTTTTCATTGCATAAATTCTGTTGGTGTAATGGCTTCTTATCCTGTTCCTGGTTCAGGTCCCTAGTTTTGTCCTCTGTAGAAAAAAACCCAAAAAACTCATGAATTCTTTTTCATATTTCTGAAACAGGAACGTGTTAATAATTTCACAAAATAATTGTTTTCCCCAAGTCAGGATTTTCAGTCAACTCAGAGTAACCGATGCATTGACTTTAGGTTGGTGGGGTCATCTTTAGTATATCAATTGGTCAAGTGCCTGTGACCTCCCCAAACATGTTTTAAGCCATAACTCAAGAATTCATGCGCTAATTATGACACAATTTAACACAAATTTCTAAGTAAATGGTGAGGTGATGGCATTTCATATCTAAAGGGTCAAAGGTCAACTTCACTGTGACATCATAATGTTCTGAAACACCTTTGACTATTATTCTACACTTTAACTCAGGCTGTGACCATATTTCCTGCAACTTGACTGATTCGAGGACTACAACCACGAGCTGAGAGTACTGCAGCAGCAAGTCACACTGTCCTCCATTTCCATCACAGTCTCTACTTCCATCAACATTAGTTTTGTGGTTTGGTCATTTTAAGACAAGACTTGGTTTGTAAAGTTTACTGCTGCTCCTGCATTGCTCTGTGTATTGTGATGCAGCTTAAACAAGTGCAGTGAGTCAGCTCACAAAATGAGAGGGGATTGGGGTTTTCTCAACTGATAGTGGCACACATCTCTGCATCTGCTCTGTTACCCAGATGGAGGCTGTGTGAGACAAAATAAGAAAGATATTGTCTCATCCAACTTTCTCTTTGAGTGATCATTTTATAAGTAAATATAGCTGAAATCACAGAACAGTCTTTGTTTAGTGATTTTTGGTATGCAATAAACCAGTTGAGTGCCATCTCCCATTCCCTTTAAAAGCATGCACAGCTTGAAGTATTCCTATTATAATGGGGCAATGTTTCACACAGATGCAGATTCTATTTGTGGTGAGTTGATTACATATTGTGACTGACCAGTGATATTTTATGTTATATAATGAGAAGTGTGAATAAACCTTTGGTAAATGAAACTGTGGTGCACAAATTTAGTTGACAGTATTTCTGTGGAGGATTTACCAGGTAGTAAGAAAGAATGCTTCTCTGCAGAGCCTCATATGTCATGTCCAAGAGACATTCATGATGCATGGCAGTGTTGTACAACACACAATATGCTACAAAGAAGAATGCTTCAGTAGGCTGTATTCTAATGTTCCACCTGACTTATCTAAACATTTAAGCGGATTTTAGCTCACTCTGCTTGTGCGTAACAGGCACAAGCCTGTTGCACAATGTGCCTGTATAACAGTCAACGCCCATGGGTGCTCAGATGGGCGCAAGTGTATAGACACAGCAACATAGACACTGGACAGGAAAATGATAACTGTGTCAATCTGAAACTAGCAAAGAAACTTTGCTTTGCGCCTGGTGTAAGATAGGGCCTGTAATCTTAATGGGCTGCGTTTTAGTCACTGTTTCATGTGTGAGCACACAGAGGAGGAGAGAAGCAAACAAATAAAGAGCTGAAATCAGCCTAGGCTGAATGCTGATACGATGTGATGAAGTCAGTTGTTTACAGCGGTTCCACAACAGCTTTCAACTACGTCCTCAATCATTGACCGTTCGCAGTCCAGCCACGTACTAGGTTTTGATCTAGTCTTGTTAACATACAGTGGCAATGTCAGATCTATGTAATCTCGTACTGACTGATCAATCGATCAATCATTCACTCACCCTCAGCTGGAGACACACTGCCATCAGCTGTGCGTACCAAGTGTGTGATCTTGGTCTTCCTTGCCTTCCTCTTCTGGCTACCAACTAGCATCTCCATACTAGTGGTGCCCTGGACATCTGGGCACATTATGGCAACGGGGGCACATGACTTGACTTTTGAAGCTGAATCCAGTGTGGCGGAATCACTCTGTAGCATTGCTGTGGAGAACAGGTTCATAGAAACAGATTTCAGTGATTTGACTTTTGCACAGATGCAGTAATTAAAATGAATACACATAGTGTATGTCATAGTCCTCTTAACAAGAACTTAAGTTCTTTATTCATTTGTTTAGTGTCACTGTAATCTAAACAGATGAAAGTTATTGTTTGCACATAGGCCTCAGCAGCTGATTCTTGTTAAAAGATTTATTATCAATAATAGCTATTTTATTATTATTAATAATAATATACTGAAATATTCTTTATAGTATAAATAGTGCAACTTTAAACACATAAATTTAATACATAAATTACAGATTTTTTCAATCTCAGGCTTGTGACAATGTGAACGTAAATTCTCTAATTCAAGCTGCTCTTCAACCAAACTTGATTTTAAAACATTTGTTGGTCTTAACAGTGTTGTTAATGAGTAACTGTTAAATTCATCTGTTAAATACCTCTAAACATGTTCACACCCCTGCTATAATGCACAAACATCAACATTCTAGTTCACCTTTGTCCAATGCACCTGGTTTCTCCTTTTTGTGTTTGTGCTTCCTAACAATCTTGTGGAATGAAGTCTTTTTCTGAGATGGAGATGGCCCTGATATAGCAAAAAACAAAGAAAAAAAGAGCATGGAAATGCTGTGTTATGGAATCCAAATGTTTCTGTTTTAACAAAGAGAGAACTGGTGCTAAACACCACAGGTGTGGAAAACATGACTCTATAAACAGGTGTAGGGTGAGCTATGGATGACATGAGAGGATATTAAAGAACATTGTGTGGAGAAATCTATGACTTTGCTCTTACCTTTTCCGACTTTAGAAGCTTCCTCTTGGACTGTGGAGCTGTCAGTCTTCTTCTTCTTTGCGACAGTAGCCCCCTTCTTATCAAATGTAATTGGACTATACTGTGGTAGGCTGTTAAATTTCTTTTCAAACTCCTCCTCCAGTTTCCCTAGGCTGACAAGTGAAGTTCAGAGTTTACATGACTGAGCATATAATCAATAGCCTAACCTCACCGTAAGAACAAGGCAGATGTCAAACAATACTACAAGTTATACATTTACCTACAGAGACCAGTAAAGTCTAAAACAGCAGCCTAAAGCCCCCCTCAGACAAGACTGACATTACAGAGGGTCAGTGTCAAAGTATTTGCTCAACTGTTGTTCTGAGCAGCATTTTAGCCATTGGTAAATTGCAGGGACAGACAACAGTATCCTGCAGGAAAACCATTCAGCAGGCTTGTCTAAAGGTTTCATTTAATATTAATATTAATTTTCAAAATATATTTACTGGTAATTAAATTATTTACACAGACACTTGCAAACTAGTCATTTGGCCCTTTCTGAGTGATGTTATGCTCTTACTGTAAGAGAGCGATTGGTTTCTGTAAGATAAGAGTTAAATACTTCTTCAATATGCAATGCAAAGGTCAGCATCACTTGTAACTTTACAGCAGCCCATTTGATGAGCTTGTAGGTTTTTTTTTTTTTTCATTTTTTCTGACTTAACATGAATGAACTGAAAGTTGCATGTTTGTAAATATTAAAATTTTGCTATCAGGTTAGCAGTAAAATCATTTTTTTGAAAAACAGAGGCTTATTGGAGGTGTTATTATAACTGAAGTGTGCAAACGTGTGCTGCATATGGGATTAAAATCAATGACCAATGCATCTAATATTACAGTGAAATTACAGTAAACTGGGTGTTATTCTCAGTTGTGACTAATCCTGCCAGGCAGCTGGAATTCTCACAACCAAGAATCCATCTTTCCTTCAGGCTCGAAGCTATAACTGAACCAGAGTGGTTTGGACCAATCAGCATCCTCTAAGAGAGCAACTACTGGCAGCTATGGGCGTAATAGGTGTGACATCAGAGACTATTCTTTAACAACAATGGCGGCTCATAAAGAGGTTAGCGTAGATGCTGCTATAGCATCAGTTATCTTAGAACCGTAGAGTATGTTTTCATTCAGAGCAGAGAGCAGCATTGAGGCATCTTCACGGAAAAGATGTTTTCACTCTTATACCAAAAGGCAAGAGTTTGATTTACTAACTGGCTCAACTGGTAGTGAAAAAACTGGGAAAGATGCAGAATCTGACTGCCTGAAGCTAGCCTGTGAAAGATGGTGTTAGACAGATGGTTCGTCCATTAACCTGCCAAGTATTTTTTCCTTTTTCAGACAGTTTCCAATGAAGCCTTCCTAGATGGTTGTGCGTAACAAACCATCTGGTGCATCAGGTTAGATAAGTGTTAAGTTGAAGAGCAAAGAATATACAGTATATTGTCAAATATTTAAGATTTTCCATCGTGACTTTAATACAAAGTCTACAAAAAATGATACTCTAAAAAATGATTGCACAACATAGTGCTAAGAGGAGACCTGACTCACCCCTGTGAAGATTCATCTTTGGACTTTGACTTTTTCAGCTTCTTGGGGTTATTAGGCCCCAACTGTGGAACTGTCCAGCTGTCATCACACCAGTTTGCATCATGATCAGAAGCTCGGAAAGCTCCTCTTTTACCTGTAGACATCATTCATTAATATTCATTAACCACATATCATACACAGACTATTTTATGTTTCCTTCATTCATTAATTAGCCCATGAATCAGTGGCTACCTCGGTCAATATTCGCTCTCAGGGAAGTCAGCATCCCCTCAGAAACAAGGGTTTTATATAAGGCTCCTTTACAGCTCCGCTCTGATTTCCTGGAGCCGCGGTTCTCTGTGCTGGACTCACAGATCACTTCGCTTTGCCTCTCCTTGCCCTTGTCCTCCTCTTTGAGCTTAGTAGGTGAGGGGCTGCCAGGGGAGTGATGGATTTCTACCATGCTGCCCTGAAGGTCTGTGCTTCCTAAACTTTCATCTGCTTCTGTCTTGGGGCTAACGTGACTCATGTCTTCCTTCACGTCCACCTCAGAGAAACTGTACAGTCCATACTGCCCGCTGTCTTCATCCATCTCCTCCTCTTTTTCTTTCACAAAGGTCTTGACTTTGGGCTTACTCTTCTTCTTGGGAAAACCAAGATTCCCACTGGCAGGACTGTTCTGGATCTTCTTCTTGGGCTTCTCCTCATTGTCCTTCCAGGCCCCTTTGGCCACTGCTTCAATCGTGCTGAAAACACTGTCCACATTTGATTCTGCATGGTTACACTGTTTGATGATCTTCTTTGCTGGGCAGGGGTTCTCGTTGTTATCATTTGACTTGGCCATCTCTTTTTTCTTGCTCTTCTTTTTGACACATGCATTTTGGCTGCTGAGTTGTGGGGGAATGACATCAGTGGAGGTAGAAGTGACAGAGGAGCGCGAAGGTAAGAGGGCTGATGTGTGAGGGGAGGGAGGAGAGTCGTCATTGTCTGCTTTCTTCTCCTCGACCTCTGGATTGACTGTAGTTTGCTGGAGAGAGGCTGCAGAGGAGCTGTCCTCTGGCTGAGATACAACTGTGTCCATCTTTCCAGCTTCAGACGCTAAGCACATCTTACCAAACAAAACACAAAACACTTAATCAGTTGAATTGACAGCAATCTACAGTATGCTCCTAATATTCCATCTCTTCATGTTATTTTAGCAGATATTTATATAATATAATATATGATTTATATGGATATAATGATCAGTTCATCAGTTAAATGTGATCTCTGTCACCATTCATTGTTAAATAAACTGCAGTACACACACAGTAACATTTTGAATTATAAAATTTACTGTTGAGAATATGAACAAAAATGTCTATGAAGTAAAGGGAACAAATGTCATGAATTCGTGTCACTAAAAGTAATAAATGTTTGCTTTCAGGTAACACGGACTGTTTTCTAGTTGTAGCTCTTTCTTGCAACATGCAAACTCACACACACAGAAACAGTTTTACCATATTTCAGCCTTGAATGTGAAAGATAACCAATGTTACAGTCCAATCAAGTAAGTCGGATGTTTTCATAGTATAACATTCTCACCAGTTATCAAAAAAAGCTGCAGGGAGTTACTTACCTCAGCAAGCTGGAAGAGAGCGGACTGTCTGCATGGTTTTCCTTCAGGCGCCGCAGACAGAGATGACTGTGAACACACAGTAACATCCTTTGTTAATGAGACTGCACTGCACAGCTTTCTGCAGATACTATTATTATTATTCAGAAATATTCCCTTTCTACAACAATTTTCACCTTTTACATTATTATTGCAGGAAAGAGTAAGCATGGGGCCTGTACCATGAAATATGTTCAGCTAAGTCTGACTCTTTAGGTTACCTGGCTTCACTCAGCCTAACATCAGTCACCAGGGATGACTGGTATCATGAAGCTGGTTACATGGACATGTTTACTCTGTGTTTACCTATCCAGCTGTGAGTGTGTTCACGTGAAAGAGCTGTGGGTAAAGTGATTAATTGAATAGATGAACAGGCGATATCTACTGTATCACTTGATTATAGTGACAGCAAAAATGATATTCAACAAGCTAAAATATATATACAAGATAATCTCATCACTCCAATAGAACAAGGAGCTGCAGAAACACTAGACATAATTCCACATATTAAAAGGAAAGCTCAGGCTACAGTATAAGTACACAATGTATGAGTGTGAATATATGCTTTTAGTACAGAATGTGTTTCCTTTCCTTTTTTGTCTGATGAACAAACGATAAAAGTAATGTCATCTGTAAGGGAGCTGAATGAATGAATGGATTTGTTTGATTAAAGAAATACAGACAACAGTGTGCTGCAGTCACTACATACATTAAAAATTACAGCAGATGAAAACATAATAAAGCCTGAAGGCTATTTCGATTGTGATCCTACTTAAAAGTATATGGATTATTTTTCTAATAAAAGACAACAGGGGGTTTAGTTTTCATTCCAATTATCACAAGTAAAATAATACCTCATGTTATTAATAAAAGTGTAAAAACATTGACGCTATCAGGAATCCTCTGTTTGTTAGAAGCTCTGTTTTAAAACCAGAGTGAACACATAGAGAGTCTGGAACAGCAAAGTAATTCAACTTATCTATAACACGTCTTGTCATCAATTGCTCTGTATTACTTATCAATTTATTGTTAACTCTTTTGTCCCTGTCAGGACCCTGTAGGAATGATGACTCTGGTTTTCCAGTGATCTGATTGGTCAGTAGTTGGGCTGTTGGAAGGTTTTGATCTGATCCTCTGAAGTTAACCTGCTCTGGAACAGGTTACCTGTGCATCTTAAGTTACCATGGTGATCTAACCCAGTTAAGAGTGAGCCTGCTTCATGAAACCAGAAAACCTGAATTAAGCCCAAAGAAGAGCTGGATAACCCACTAATCTCACTTAGTGGCACAGACTACTTCTGTTGTTTGCTGATACTGACTGGCTAATTGATGTCATCTGTCTTTTTCCTGAGAGTTAAATACTGAGATTATAAGATACTTTATGTGTAATACTGAAATCTAGTCTGAAGGTGGTGCTAAAATGGCTGTGCAGATTTCTGCCAATATTAAATTTTGCATGAAAAAAATGAATATTCTATAATAAAATCAGACTTTTGTTTGCGTTTTAACTCACATTGGATATCTACCTCACCTAAATGTCATTGAGTCATTCTTAATTAAATCAATAGCCCCTGCCTTGAACAGGCAGTGAAGTTGCACCTTTATTCTGCTTTGCTGTTCTGTATTAAAGATACGAACACAGAAAGGTGGGGTTGGGAGGGGGCATTACTGTTCCACCTTTATGTGCCAGCAGTAGAGGTAGTAACTGAGCTGGATCGACGTCAATGTAAGGGAGAATGGGCATGGTGGGATAGGTGCCAACGCTGTTGTTAGACATCCCACCTCTGAATGCCAGTATGCTATCTAAACTGTAAAATTACACATCATGCCGAGGGGTCTTCTTAATGGCACTATAGCAGGATCTCTGTATGAAAGTGGCTAATAACAACTGAGCGTTTCCTACTATGATATGCCAAAATGTCTGCGATGAAAAAGGTCTGTAGGGCAGGTTTGTTTGTATAACAACTTTTTTAAAGTTGTCTGTGCATATTAACAATACTGTCATGAACCAAAAACTAACTAGTCATGATAAAGACATACAGTCATCGACAGATATGGATCTTTCATGAACTGAAATCAGTCATACCTCTGCCGGTGAGGAGAGGGCAGACTTGACTCTGCTTTCGGTAACATCAAGCACTCTGTTCGGTTCTGTCCCAGACATTATCTGTAGATTGAAACAGAGTGAGCAAAAACAAATCAGTTCTCATGTGAGCTATTAAGTAAGTCAGTGGGTAAGTGGGATCAACCAGACAAACACACAATCATTAACCTTGGAGAAACTGAGGAAAGCACACAAGAGTAAAAACTATTTTTGAAGACAAATTTTGTTGTGACAAACTTTCAAATTTTTTTTACCAAAAGTAAAAGTAGAATGGCCCATTTCAGAATAACATATATTACATTATTAGATTCTAATCATTGATGAGTTAACATGTAATCTAAATCTGCAAACTAACAAGTAACTAAAGCTGTCAAATAAATTGAAGTGGAGTAAAAACTTCAATATTGGATTCATAAATGTAGTGTTGAAAATCATAAGAATTAAGTCAAGTACAAGTACAGTACTTCAGTAAATGTACTTTGTTACTTTCCACCACAGGTTACTGTAATGTGCAGGACAAGGTATTATGTTGTTTTTCAATGTTGATGTAACATATAACAGGTCTTACTATTTTTTACCACTGTACACATTAGAGTCTGGTCAGATCCCATTAGTGTGACAACACGACCTCTGGTCTAAGATACTGTATACAGAGTACAGGAGGAGGAGAAATATGGTCTGAGAACACACCTCTTCTTTGTCTCCTGAAAAGCAGTTCCCTTCGCTGGCTGTGTTGGGTAAACTAGGTTTCGTGCTGGAAGGGATCTAGAGAGGCAAACAAGACTGGGGTTAACTCAAAAGCATAATTCAAAAACCATGAATGGTTTTTGTGTAACAGATAAAACTAATACCCATGGGTGCATCAACATGTGGTAGTCTGCACCCATGGGTGGCTTGCAACAGTGACCTACCTCCCTGTTCGTGAGGGCATGTTCTCCAGCTAACAGCAGCATGCTAAGGCCTCCCATCTTAGTAGGATCTGACAATGAACGAGAGTAGTTACAAAAACAATACATTTAGTCACGTTAAACTAAACTAACAATGTTTGATTATACACACCTGCCATGGCAAAGTTTAACTGTGGCATGCTGTCAGTTTTGGGCACTTTTTTGGCAGTGGTTGAGTCCTTGGATGAGTTGGAAGAGAAGGACCAAACTTTTTTGCGGGGATTGCTGACCGGCTGACAGGAGGGACTCTTGACAGGTTTGCTGGTGGTGGGACACCACTTGTAGCCTGGGTTTGCCTTCATGAAGGCATCCTTGTACTGAAAGAACATGCAGAATTGATTTGGTACAAGCAAAACCTTAAATGGTTTCACACCATCAAATCTATATCGAAGCATTTCTCGATTTCTCTTATACTACTGTATATTGATGACTGATCAAAGTTCAGGAACAAAAACATCCATGAGTAAAATTTATCAAGAGTTTAAAGATTTAAAGAGAGTTAAAGCTTCAGCTGATCTGCTTCATCAGGACTGTGTGAGTGTGGTTTGATGAGATTTGATGGACAGTCACCTGGCAACATAAATAAACAAGCAACCCAGCAACTGTCATCACATTTTGACTGTGTCTGAATTCACTAGTCCCCATATAAAAGACACTCAACAGTGTCTATATATAGAGAGTTTAGACACTAAATCATTGTCGTTTTGCATCAACCCTGACAGTGTAGTGTAGTACGATTATAAAATTTGGTTTAGTAAATGTGATGCATTGCATTATGGGATCTTGGCCGATGTTGCCTGCTTTTTAGTCTCATTTCTATCACTCCTTTTCTTTTACTGAAGTTAGCATGATAAACAGCAAGCCCTGGTCCAGCTGGACCATCTCGTCATGTTCCGATACTGAATTTCTGTAGCAGTCTGCCCTGAAGAAGTAGTGCTGCTCAGAGGATATATTATAACCTCTTGTATCATAAATACAACGATTGCTGAAGCTCTCGGCAGGACTGGTAAGTAAACAGTTGTTAATGCTAACGTTGGCTATGTAGCACTATCAAAACTTACAAATAGCTCCTTTAAGGTCATTTTTCTCTTTGACGCAATATTGATTCTAAGGGAGGCTCATGGGAGTTTTTGAGTTGTTAACAGGCCCTAATAACTTCTAATATACATCCAGCATATATCCCAACCTGAACAGACCAAACACTTTTCTTTAATATAATTTTTAAGTAAGAATTTAACAAAGGGAACATGAATAAGAAAGTAATTGTTATAGTTACAATTATTTAATGCTAGTTAGAGTTATTTAATGCTATGATGTGAGACTGAATTTGCACACATTTGGTGTGCATACCTTAACTGATGTTATACACACTACCACTACCAAATTGGACCTCTGTTTTAGCAACATGTGCAAACCGATGTGACAATGCCTTTCTCTCTTGTTTTGGTTTTTATTTGCTACTTATTTCATATCAAGCTGGAATAGCTCTTTAACTCACTAACTTAACGATTCACTATTCACAATAGTACAGCTCTACAGAGAGCAGAAGTCGTGACGTCACATCCGGGCTACGCTCTGTTCCACTAGATTCAGTAACTCAATACAACCTCTCCTTCAGTATTTCTTTCATTGGTCTTTCTGTAAAAAGTGTGTTCCTGGGATTTACTTTCCATGTTCTAAGACAAACTGCCATCTACATCACAAATCTACAGCTCTCATGAATAAACTGAAATAAATCTCTGCTGTCTAAAAGCTTCTACAGTGTTCAGTCCTCTCTGTGCTGATATTACAGATATGTATGCGTTAACAGTGACTTGCTTATGGATTCTTCTGTTGAGCTGTGATGTTTAGCCTGCACACATCCAGCACTTATGGGAAAAAAGTATTTCTTGAAGACCACTAAAAAACATTAAAGATATAAGATAACTTTCCCAAACCCTACTAACCTTATCTAAGCATATGAAAAGTTGAAACATATGAAACGTATGAAACATATGAAGCTCTGTTCCATGGCTGTTTTTTAAATATTAGTTCAATGCAATTTTGAATGATTTTAACTTCTGAGAACAGAAAAAAGTTTGGCAGTTTCCACTTTCTATAAGAAAATCGAGGCGCACTGCACAGAAACTAATGCACCTGACTGTCAAGTTACTTTGGGGCTCAAGTTACTTTGGGGGCTACTATAAGAGAGAGTTACCAATAATGTTAATAAAGGTGTAGAAGTCACAGAAGTCTCACCTCCTTGGCCATGTCAGTGTATTTCTGCTTCTCTTTGGGCTCCAGCACAGCCCACCAATCAGCCAGGATCTTGGTGGCCCCACGGTTGTCCAGACGAGGGTGTTCCTGCCGCACCAGAGAACGGTGGCGTTTGCAGAAGAGGAGGAAAGCATTCATTGGCCGCCGTGCTCGTTGTTCATTTGAGTCCTCCTCCACTTCCTCTGCTGTGCTTCCACACTCAACCTGCGATCCCTGGTCCTGGCCACACAACACTGGCTGCTGATAACAAATCCATAAACCTTTAGATGCTGCACCATGTTTTAGTGATAAACTGATAGATCTGTTGTTCAGTTCAGTGTTTCCCCTATTTACAATTATTACCGCTGCTTCAATGTAATGAAGTCACAATTACATGACTTTGCAGAGGGCTATTAACCTGAAAGTGGAGACACGTGGTGAGACTGAGGTGAGTGGGAGAGGAAGAAAGTGAAAAAGAAAGAGAAGAGAGAGAAAGGTAGTAACTATGTAACTAGCTAACATTAAGTTAAATTGATTTGTTATGGCCTATTAATATTCACTCTGACCACTGGTGTACGACGAGCTCACCAACCTGGTACAACAAAACCTGGCATAGAGGAATACATTGAAATTCTTGTGGGCATAAAGTTTTGTCGGCCCAATCAGTGTCTCTACCAGCCCTCTCTGTGTGCCTGTCATTGGGGGTGAGTATGACAGTGTACTGCACACACGCACACACGCACACACGCACACACACACACACACACACACACACACACACACACACACACACACACACACACACACACACACACACACACACACACACACCTGTGAAGCCATCACACACATGTACCTTCTCCAGCTCCTCTTCATCCTCTTCTTCTTCCTCCTCAGAGAAATCCAATGTCTTTTTGGAGAGAAGTGGGTGCCACTGCAGGCATTTACGTTTGGGGCGTTTGCCAGTGACCTCCCCTGCAACAGGTGGCTCCTTACCCCTTCCTCCACCCTTCATGGTACTACCGCACCTGTAGAAAAGGCAGATTGGGCACAACATCAGAACATGGACTGTGAAAACATGCATCTTCACGTGCATCATTAATGTCTTGTCCTGTTGTCTGATGAAAGCAGAGATACTTTAGTGTCAGACATTTGCAAATGTGATAGTAATTACTGGTAACGTGCCTGAGCTGGACAGAAAATCTGATGGTTTCAAGCTGTTTTGCAAAAATACAAATGGAATTTTTAAAGGAAATTATAGTTACTGTTTAAATGTTTTAATGTGCATATTTGTGCACATTAAATTAACAACCCAACAGACAGACCAAGTATCACTGTTATACCAGCAACAATATATATTACATAAAATTAAATAGGAATGTTTAATTAATGAAATTTAATGTTACATAATCTCAAAATCAGAGACTTGTTCTACTGTAGGAACTATATAGAAATATTTACCATCAAAAATAAAACAAAAAACAAAAATACATTGAGGCGAAGGCAGTAAATTTAAAAAAAAAAAATTCTAATCCTGCTGGAAATCTCCTAAAGGCCTTACTTCCACAAAATTTTAATAAATATTAAGCGACATGTAACAAATTCAGTCTCAATTATCAAAAACACAATTATCAAAAATAATGAGCAAAATGGGCTGAATTTGTGAAACTGGCTTGCAGCTGTACTAAACGAAAATATAGAAACCAAATTGGGAACTGATCCCTGTGTCTCAAAAACAAATCAAGGCTACATAAAATTGGGCTTGATTTAAAATAAAAATGTCTTTAAACCTCTGAATTACAGATTCTGTTTATATTTGGTTTAATTTAACATGAGCAAGAGAGCAAGTGAAGAAGCCAAACTATCCCCCCACTGACCATGATTTCATTAGCCTTAATGTACTACGCTAATTGTCTCCCTTAAGTTGCCTTGGAGAATACCCCCTACTGTGGGACCCATGAAGAAGAGCTGCAAAGGATGGTCATTTATAGCTCATGGACTTGTTAGTGATGGAATTAAACACAGTGCACTATCATATCATGATCTAGAAGAACTGAAGAGTCTGCACTTGACATCATTACTTTAAAGGACAATTCTAATTATTTTATTTTCCTACACACTACACACAGCCTTATTTTGAAGCAGCTGCAGTCACCAGGATCTGTGACTGTTGGACAAAAATATCAACATGCAGATGTCTGGCACTTTGTTCTAGGATCAGTCTGAAATATTTCCAAGTAAACTGGTTAAAGAATATGCAGTCACACTGAGCCATTAAGACATAGAGCTGTAGGAACAGGTACTCCATGCAGTTTAGTTGAAACTCCCAAACGTCAACAATAAACATAAGGAAAACCATCCTCTCATATCATAAACTGCGGCAGAAACAATAGAGTAACATTTATCTTAGCACTGTGGTAGATACAGAAGGACCATCTTTCTTTTTTTCTTATTTTGTATCATTTTTTTTTAAAGTTGAGCAGAGGTTTAACATATGACGTTGATAGGTTTCTTACCTCACCTGCACATCCACTTCATAAAAAAACCACGCTGTTGCCCATAAAGTTGGAATAATTTTGTTTTCAGACACAATCCTCTGTTTATTCCTATTTAAATGCATCAGTAATCACTTTTGACCAGGTGCAATGATTACATGATGTGTCCCAATTACCCAGGTGAAATGAAATAAATCAGGTAAAAAATATTTTATTCAAACTTTATAAGCAACAGTGTATATAGAATGTGATGTTTTATCCGTGCGAATAAATAAATGAAATCAAATCATGGAAATTCAAGACTTGCTTTTCTGCAAGTCTTAATTAAGACAAACACACTGTATATCATATAAGCATGTATAGTTATTTGTTCTGCCATACTAGATCAAATGTATTAAAATGCTTGTCACTGGATCTTAATCTTAGTTTATATATGCACATTAAAGAAAAGAAAAAGACTGCATTAGAGCTCCAACGATTAGTAATTAATTGATTAGTCAATCGGAAAAAAATTAACTCAACTATTTTGAGATCATTCAATTCTTCTAGTAATTTTATCAAGTAAACATGCCAAATGCATTGGTCAGTTCCAACTTCTTAAATCAGAAGATTTCTTTGCTTTTCTTTGATTGTATATCAGATATCTTTGGGTTGGATTATTGAATGAATAAAACAAGACATGAACACATCTCTTTGAGCTGTGGTAGATTATGACAGACATTATAAGAGGCATTTTTCACTATTATCTGACATTTTATAGAAAGATCAATTAATAGATTAATTGAGCAAATAATCTGTGGGTTAATTGATAATGAAAATAATTGTTAATTGCTGCCCAGGACTGCATGAAGGTCTATATGAAGGACATTCAGCAGTTAGGCTGATGAGACCAGAGCAATTTTGAAATAATAAACATAAAATTGCAGTGTTTCAGATATGATGTCAGTTTACATTGATACATGTATGTTTAATCGCTGTTATAGTCGTTTGAGATTGATGTACTACATTGTATTTGGAACTGGTGGTTGTCAAAAGATGTTACCAAACAGTAAAGTTGAGCATAAAAAGTGTAATGTTCACATCTGGCAAAAAGACTATTACTTTTGGAGTTTGCAAAAAGTAGTGTACCAGTCATTGGACACTATATATAATTTTTTTTTCTCTATTTTTGGAACTTTTGAGGGCACTATTTAGAACAGATGTTTCTCACTGAGAATTTGGGTTCTCAAATAAAATGGCAGAGGCTGAATGTAGTACAATAGGTAGGAAGCAGGGAGTGACGCAGCCTATAATTTTGTTTTTACCTCGTTATAAGGAAAATCATTAGTTCTATAACTGTTTCAATTTAAAGCAGAGTACACAACATTCATTAACACAAACCCCAGTTGTGAAAAAAACATCAAATGACCCAATGAAAGGAGAGAAAAAAAACCCCACAACTAATAACTTGACTCTAGTAAAAAGGGTACAGAAAAAAAAAGGCTTCTAATACAAAAATAAGTCATTGCTGTTGAGCAGTGGGTATCAAGCTCTTCTCTGTTACTGATCATGACAAGAGCTGCACAAGATCCCAGACAGACTCTGCGCTTTCTTAGAGATTTCCATGGCAGGTTTTGATTGTGAAAACAATAACTGAACACAAACTCACAGCAGACAGTGGTTGTTTCACTGCAGACCTGAACAACGTTGCAGGCAGTCAGTTCAATACTTACAGTATGTGAAGTGACTTATAAGTAAAATTTCCACATTTCAGAGGAAATGGTTACATAAAGAATAAGGGAAATTGAAGACTTCATAAATAGTATAAAAATGCCACAGTACAATAACTAGATTTGTTGTATGGGCACTGTATCTTTGACCCTTAAACTCCATGTGTCTTGTAATTGAATGAAGTGTATTACTGTTATACTGATTATAGGTCATTCAGCAGAACACTGTCAAAATGCATATTTTTTTTAAAAAATGTTGGGAAAGTAAAATTGCAACTGTCATCCTTTCACCTTGATGCACTATTCAGATTTTTGTCTTTAACAAATTAAAAAGATGCACCTCATCATAGCCTCTTACTATAAGCTGTAGGGACAGTTTGGTGTTCTACACATGTTCAAATCAGCCAAACATTCATAAAACATTCATAAAAAGAACTGTATATTTTTACTTTGTTGATTTTTATTTCTCAACATGTTTACACTAAACATTACACAAATGAAATTTAACAACCAATGAATGAATGAGTCAATGACTGTATTCCTCTGAACATCATCCAGACTAGATGTCAGTGTTTGTATTTGTGAATGCCAAGTGGAAAACAGGGATACTTACTGAAGAAAAAACAATGGAAATGCTGTATGAATGATGAAGATGAATCTGCCACTGCCTTTGTCATGCAATGACGATGACCTATAAAATACAAGACATCCCTCTCAGTCATGCGTTATACTGTCATATCTGCAAAAATGTTCCGCCAACATGAGCTGGGCTGCGGGAGAAAATGTGTGCAAAACAACTTTAATAGAGCATTTCTGAGTGATGCTGCATAAGACAAGACCTCACCAGCCTCAAAGTACGTTGGGACATTTTGTCTGATCTGATTACTGATCATTTTAATCATGCAGTCGATCCGCCCTTGTGGCCAAAACCAAAACATGTAGGCCAAAACCCTACGACCATTGGATGTATTTCTCACAACATTATACAGCCTTAATTTAGCAGGCATAGCTCCAGTATGCATTTAGCTACGCAGAAGGTTAGTTGTGTTCTCAGGTAAAACTGCTGATGCCCGATCGGACTGCCTGTGTTGGGAGTGAAGTCTTCAGTTACTGTATCGAGCTTCTCGCGCACAATAACAGCACAAGATTTGTCAGGTACAATAAACGATCCGTTCGCCTACCTACTGTGTTCCTACCTCTAAGCAGTCATTTTCACCTCCGTGCAAAATGTCGATCTGAGCTCTGACAAGACAGACAAGCCGAATGAGAGTCCATCTTGCTTTGGTTTGGAGGAGAAAACCCAAGTACAGTACACTAGTGGGGATTTTTGACTCCTGTCAAACTCTCCGGTGACAATGTCGTCGAAATGTCTCCCACTCCGAGGAAAATACATCCACAATGATTAATTAAACTGGGTATTTTCTGTCCAGGCACATGCATCTGTGGGCAACGTTTTGCTAAGCAGTAGCTCCATTTCCTAGCAGTGTTACTAGGAATAAAAGTAGCTAGTTAGCTTGCTAGCTCTACAGCCTGCTAACTGGACGTGTCACGGTTTTAACGTGCAATGGTTTCCAAACAGTACAAGCTTCCTGAACAGTTGCTGACAAAACTCATGGACTAAACTGGTATCAAAATACTTGTTTGAGCAGTTGCAGCAGGTCGTTTACATACAACGCAGGTTTGTGGCTATATATTTGATGCGGATGGGGGGGTGGTGGGGGGGGGGGCATACCACCTCACTGAGAAACAGTTGCTTTCCCATGTATTTTTCACGGCGATTTCAAACAGGGGTGAGGAAATATTTCAGCTAAACAGTAACAGTGACAAAACCGTATGGTCTACAACACTGGTTATCAATGAAATGTCGATTGGAAACAAACAAATTCAAGGGGAAGCCAGCAGGCGGACATCATGTCCAAAGCAGCGATAATAACAATTTTTCAGAGTGACTGACTGAGATGTTGAGAACAGCGACGCAAAATTAATAAAACCACAAGTTCTCTGTCATGAACGTCACCTTGATGTCTGAACATACCTCTAATATCTCGCTCAAGTACCGGGGGGGGCCTCTCATCATTGGTGCCGTCCACCTATTTAACTTATTGACACATTATAACAGTTCAGCACTGGCTGTACTAAACACAGCTGCATCAAGTCTGGACAACTAACGGCACTCGGAGACCGGAAGCACAACGGTTTCTCACCAAAATAAAAACATTTTCACTTACAGCAATAAAGCTCCAGACTGTACATGAAAACACCCTTTTATCATAAACCAGTGATGATGGTTATGATGGTCTAAAGTACAATCAATATACAGTACAAAATGTGTCTCAATACATTTCATCTCAATAGATTGTTTCAGGAGCCCCCAGCATAAGTGTATTTTAAGGCAGCATTTGTATTACATCCCAAACAAATACAAAACACCCAATTATTTTTAAGTAAGCCTGGTGTTGTAATTCTTAAGGGAGGGCAAGTATAATTATAAAGCACATTTCAACATAAAAGCAATTCATAGTGCTTTACATGACAAGAGAGGAGGCATTAAAACACAATATAAAAAAACAAACAAATTTAATATAACCTGACACACATACAGGATTTTAAAGGAATAAAATAAAATATATGAGGAAAATAAGCTAAATTAGAATAAGATATCAAAGGTGTTTATAGAGCTGGTAGAAAGTATAACAAAATACTGTGGTAAAATTATGGGCTCCAAGACAAAAAATTCTATTCTATTCTAGTCTATTTTCAGACTACACAGATGGCTACATTATGTGCCCAGAGACCAGGACTATTATGCTTAGACTACCTAACCTAGCCCACCTTGGTTCATATTTAACAAATCTGCAATTATCAAAAGCTAGATGCTGCTCATGTCCCCTTTATGCCTGTTTTGCTTTTGCCTGGTGATTCCAGTTATAAATATGAACACTGGCAAAAGTAGTTGCACGAATACTATCTGCATCAACATCAATTCAAGTAAAAACTTTTATCGTCATAGTTTCAACCGGAAGTCATCTCTGTTAGTCTGTGTACATTGATAGCGGGACAGAAACGCAGCACTTACTAGATGATGAATATTACTGTCGGTGAAGGCGACGCATTAAACGACCCCAACCCATCAAAATAACACAATATTGCGTTAATTCTGGCAGAAATACAGACTTGTTCAGTCATACGATGTAATAGAAACCACTTTCGTTTTCCTCGAGATGGGAGAAAATTCTCATCTCAGCTATATCCCTCCCCTCCCCCGGTCTGCAAAGTGCTCATACCCGAACTGGCCTGTACTCGCTAACACCATCCCTGACCTAACTTTATCTTTCAGCTCTGTCCGATTGACAAAGGTCAGCGAAAGGTGCAGGCTACATTAGAAACTCCTGATAACGACTTACTAAACGCTGGATCCAGTCTATCTCAGCTGAGTGAATACTTGTTACAGTATAAGCTTCCTGGGTGTTTGTGCTCGTGATAACTGTGAACAGTTGTTGCAGATGTGTGTACCTGTGGTTCAACAGCACGTACCTTTCAGCTGCTACGTAGTAAACGGGTAACTACTTTCTCAAATCTTCTTTAAAACGTTTAGCCGTGAAATTACCAACAGTTCTGCAGCATACTGTACACAGTGAAAATATCCACCCTGTCATGTAATGCTGTACGTGAGTGGATACTCCTGTTGATGGACAGTCTGGTTTCACCAATGACACGCGGCGTTATATTCTAATGTTTTGAGATTAGTGTAACGTCCTCAAATATAATGTTCAGGACACGTGTGGTGAGTTTAGGCCTAAATAATACAAAATAACGGCGATATAAAACTCAGTTTGAGTGTGTAGTCTTCAGTAGTGGAACCACACTGACCTTATGGTGTTCCATGGTGTATTAATCTCCTTAAGAATGCTTATAGCCTGTCCAATCTCAGGGTCTTAAATTTTCTGTACAAGAGAAAGTAAAGGGGACATTTTAACTGGTAGGCCTAACTGTTCTTGTAAGTTTGATACGATATGATTTTGTCAAAGTGAGTCTGACCTGTTTGCTGGTTTATTGAATCAGTTAGGTATTTAGCTGAATGCCTATATTTTATATATGTGTTTGTGTGTGTGTGTGTGTGTGTGTGTGTGTGTGTGTGTGTGTGTGTGTGTGTGTGTGTGTGTATAAAATACAGTCACAATATGCTTTATTGGAAATACCCAAGAACCCAACACATTATTAGAATTAAAAGGTAGAACAAGTTAATGACATTAATAATAATTTAGGTTGCAGCACAATAACAATTATATTACAATTGTATTATAGGAGGATTTTACTTTTTCGGGTTTAAATGTATTTTGTAGATTTTATAACACATGTATTCCACCTTTATCAAACTTCAGAATAAGGGTGATCTAGGTTGTGAATACTTGTTTATGCCAGCACAACCTGACGGTGGAACCAGAAGCCTGTTCGGTAACACCTGTGCTCCTTCTAACTGTGCAGTCAAAATGTCAAATTTAATTTGTTTCTGAATCTGAACTCTTTGATTTTCTGCCTTTGGCTGATAAATATTCTAGTATTGATTAGTATTGATTAATGATGTGTGTGTGCTTGCGTGCATCGTGTGTGTGTGTGTGTGTGTGTGTGTGTGTGTGTGTGTGTGTGTCCGAACAGTATGACTAAAGTGCTGTACTGATAATATTGAAAAAAATTACCGGGAAATGGCAAACAATACACCTGAGGATGAAACAACATTTGAAGTGAGACGGGAACTGTCAGTAGTCATCTGACAAGGAAACATGAAGTTGCATGAATGGGCTTATGGAAAAGAGGAAATGGGTTTAAAGTGTAATGGCACCTAATCCAGTCCACAAGCTCTATCACATCTTTCAGAGCCTATGGTTGTTTTTCTCCTTTTGGTTCAAAGTAGCAAAACAGCATGCAAGGCTTTAAATGTGCCTCAGAGACTCAGATTACGTTACCTCTATCACCTCTCAGCTGGATGGTGTTAGGCAGGTGGCACACCTGCCACAGTGTTGACTTATATACTGTATTTGTGTGTGAGGGACTGTAATCATTTTCATGTGCAGGTCATTCATGTTCAAGTATCCAGATCCTTCACTTAAATAAAAAATATTTATACTGTAGAAATTCTCCATTGCAAGTAAAAGTCCTGCATTGTAAATGTTGGGGTAGCTAATTTCTAACTATTATAAACAGTGTGGGGCTTCAACTAACGGTCATTTTCATTATGCAGAATCTGCTGATTGTTTTCTTGATTAATGGACTGATTGTTTGGATTGTAAAACTTCTGTAAATGTTGAGAAAAGTCCATCATCCATCACAATTACTAAGAGCTGGTGACACAACCAAATAGCTTGTTTTGTCCAAACCAATAGTCAAACCTCAAATTATTCAGTTTACTTTAACTTCAGATAAGGAAGAGCAGGATACTTGAATCATTATATATTTGGCATTTTTGTATGAAAAATTACATAAAATTATTAATTCCTTACAAATACAAAGTAGCATGAAAATACTCGAACAAAGTACCTCTGATTTGTAGTTAGGAAGGTAAGGACACACAAGGCTTTATGGTAACACATTTGACTCTGGTATTGTTCATCTTTATCATTGTTTTAATGAGTAATGCAGATGTTTGTAAGACATTCAGATTCAGCAGTGACTGGTCATTATTCATGTTTGACAAAGGTGGAATAATTGTGGTTTTTAACAGTGCTAAAACAACTAATTACATTTACTCAACTACTGTACTTTGGTACAATTTAATGTACTTTCTTTGAGTAAAGCCATCTTTTCAGGACTGTGTAGGTGTTTAGTTGTTGATTCACATTTTATTCCACCCTGTGGTACCTTTATCATTTTTACTGGTACAAGGAGTCATCCTGAGCAGAGTGATTTCCAGCCTTTTTGTCTTGCAGCCCCTTACAAAAAAGTGTCAAGCTGTGGCTCCTTGTCATGTTATAGATGCCTTTGAGTTGTTAGCAGTTCCCTTGAAATGTCTCACATTGTTTCATTTAAAACAGTCTGACACCCAAAGAGCTAAACTTCTCCAATGTTTTACAATAAAGTCAATACTAAGGTCTCATACCCCATTAATCATCTCATGAGGCCTCTGCTTTATTAGTGACCTGCAACTCTAACTGCAAACTAGGGAGTTTAAACTAGCTCTATCTCAACCACCTATAACATGGATGGAGAAAATAATGTACACAAAGGAAGAACTCCTGGCTTTAAAGTTGACCAGATATGGAGTTAAACATCCCATGAGCTGAAGAAGCCATACCGTGGATGCAGAGTCAGGGCTAAGCTAAAGGCTAGGAAATGGAGATATAAGCCTTTTCTACCATCGATCCTCAAGGGAAATGTCAACTCCCCGGCTAACAAGTGTGATGAACTGGAGGCACTTGTGAAGAACCAACAAGCATATTGTGAGTGTAGTCTCATGTGTTTCAAGGAGACCTGGTTAAACAACAACACCCTGACCGTTGTTTGGATTTACCCAGCTTTACTGCAGTACGAGTGGACAGAGACACCAGAGCAAGTGGAAAGAATAAAGGTGGAGGACTGGTTCTGCTTGTGAACAATAGATGGTGCAACCCCAGTCATATCACAGTGAAGGAGAAGATCTGCTATTGGGATATTGAACTGTTGGCAGTCGGTCTTAGACCGTACTATGTACCAAAGGAGTTCTCACACATCGTCGACCATTGTTGTTTAACCACGAGCAGAGCCTGCAGTCGCGTGTGACGTTATTCACAAGACTGTTGCAAGAGTACAGGCCCAGCACCCTGATGCATTCATTGCAATATTGGGGGATTGTAACCATGTCACTCTCACCTCTCACCTGACTGGCTTCACTCAGTATGTTGACTGTCCCAGAAGGGAAAATAAGACACTTGATCTGTTGCATGCAAATGTCAAGGAGGCCTAAACTGCTTCAGCTCTACCACCACTTGGCAGATGATAATCTGGTTTTTCTTCAGCCTTCCTACAAACCATGTGTACTGAGGCAGGCTGCAACCACCCGCTCATTCAGGAACTGGACCCTGGAGGCCAGTGAGTCTCTAAAAGACTGTTTTGAGTGCACAGATTGGAATGTACTGTTGGAGTCACAGGAAAATTATAAAAGCAAGGACCCTGACCTCGATA